TCACATCGGGACCCTAATGGTTATGCATGCTCTTGCCTTCTTCTCTCTCCAGCATTATTCATATTCTTATTATTTGTTATTATGCTCAACACAATGGGAAAGCTCAGCAAGAGGAAATGAGAATGGAGCAGTCCTCCATCACTTCCAAATCCCAGATAAATTTACAGTCTCGCCTTGTGCAAACTGTGGCTTATTCAGAGGCAGGAGACATAGATGTGAATCCTGTGGGGATCAGCCTAGGCCACCTCATTCTGCTTTTGTGGCCTCTACCAAAGGATTGTAGGTAAAACAGCAGTGACACCTGCTTCATCCGTGCTTTGAATCAGCTGTCAGAGTTTGTGTAGGAACCGATCTGCTAAATGTGCTGTGCAAACACTTGCCAGATAAAGCCCTTCCAAGTGGGCTAGAGAGAAAAAAACCTAGGAAACTTCTGTGTAAGAACCTACACATTGGCATCCATTGATGTGACAGCAGAATGAGGTTGTTGCAAGTTAAGTTTTTACTTCAGTGTCTAAATCTCATGTAATTTTTGTGCCATACGCCTGCATCCATTTGCAGATCTGTGCAGTGCTGATCTGAATTTACAGAGCAAGCCAGAGCAGTCCTGTGAAAAAGCAAGCTCCCAGATTTTAAGGAGTCTCTTGATTATCTATAAGAACAAGAAGTGAACATTATTAAGAAATCAGCCACAACACATCTTTGGCACTGCAGCTGTCATTTGCTTCTCACACCTTGTTCACTAGTGTTATACTCAGTCACATTTCAACATACTTGTTGCCTTATCCAGAAATGTGAGCATTTCTGGCAAGATTCTTACACCTGTGAGGATTATATTAATCAACCCTTTATTAAATTATAACAAAAGTATGATAGATTTTATTATCCTAATATGAATTACAATACATATATAAATACTTTAAAGATATATTTATCCACATAATATATAAATATGTTGGAAATGATAATAAATTTAAGTTATAACTAATAATGAGTCAGACTTCCCCAGAGCCTTCTCTCTACTGATGTTAAAATGGTTTGTTGAAGATTATTTAATAATTCTCCAAATACCCTGATTTTGCAAGTCAGAGGGAGAGAGGTCAGTACCTTACCCAAGGTCAGTGGGAAAGTTTGATGTAGCAGCTGGAAGTCCTGACTGCGCCGCAGATGCTTTAGCCATGCCATCATATTGTCGCCTCGTATTGCTCGTTGATACTTATATAACGAAAGGCTTAATGATGCAATTTCGTGAGGTGCGTAAACAGCTCTGCTGCAGGTCTGGGGTAGAAGCAGCAAGAAGGGCAGCGGGAAGAGCGAGTCCAGGGCTCTTCAACTGTGACTTCCAGCAAGGTCTCTGTCCGCCTTTGGGTGGGGTTGCTTTCCTCCTCCTGTTTGCTGTTTTCTGAGAGGCATCTGTTCGCTCACCACCTAGCAGCTCGCCACTTACCGGGTGCCGGGAAACACCCAAGAAAAGCTCTGGCAGTTCTGATGCTGACTGCTTTGACGAACCTGGTGAAAGCTGGCTTCTTTAAAGCCTTGTACAAAGTGGGCCAGGTTCCCAGAAAGCATGGAGAGGAACGGGCCAGAGCAGCTAAACTTCTACAAACGAAAAAGTTAGAGAAGCAGAGCCTGGAAGGATCTTTGGGCCCTGCAGTAAGAAGGGCTCCATTGCAACAGGAAATTAGTAGGCAGACAACTAACCTGCAGAAAAAAAGTGTTAATGGAGCCTCAATTAAGCAGCTATTGGTCATGTCATTAGGTTGACAAGTATCCAGGCTATTCAGAGAACACTCAGAAATCCTCTTGCATAGGACAGGCCCAAGCTGTTTCTCCGACCACAGTAAAATATACGTCACCATCCTTCTCCCATGTTCACACAGCTAACCACAAAGCAAGAGCTGTTCTGGAAATGCTCCCCTCTGTTCTTCTCCGAGCAACCACTGAGGCTCAGATAAACTACCTCTTGAGGAATTTTGCCTGGTGTTCACTCATGTTCTTTGGAGGCTAATTTCTTCAGGGCAGGAGGAATGTCTTATCTGACTACATAGATTTATGGTTGATGTTCCATCAACATATTATAATAATACAGGGATGATGAACTGGAACAGCTCAAGGAGAAGTCACTGGACAGGTGGCTTGGTTTTAGTAGTTAACTTGTAGGTATTTCAAAACTTTGGCAGGTTTCAGTGACGCTGTTTGTACCATATGTTATTTACGTGGCTTTACGGCCAAGAATGAGAGCAACAGCCTTGTAAAGAAATGAGATCTCTCTGACTCAGTCGGTGGTAGATGCACGTCTAGTATCATCATAGTCCAAATGATGAGCTACTTTTGTAACACTTAGGACTTCTCTGATTCCTGAACTGTGTATTTTCATCCCAAAGCACTCAGGCATTCTTTGCGCTTCTTCCTTTCTCTCTCCCCTCAACTGCAAAGGGAAGGAGACAAGGCTCAATTTCATTTAGTCACTAAGCACTTTATTTTTAAGATGATTTAGTGCTGTCAGAAGGAGCCAGTGTGGCAGTTCTCTAGACAAATGTTTTCCGTCCAAGAGGAAGATACAGTGCAGGGACCAGGATGGATATTTCACACTTCCACCTCCCATTTTCCTTCTGGGGCTCTCAGCAAGCTCTGCACAGCTGGAGAGGGCAGGGAACACCAGTGGGGCTGCTTGAAGGGCCCTGAGGTCCCTGGTTGGGAGGAGGTGGGCAGGGGTGGCCATCATGTTCTATGGAGGGGAGAGGACTGCTGCAGGGCAGCTTTGTCCCCTACTTGAAAAAAAGGAGGGGGAAGAAGACACAAACCCCTTCCCTTTGCCACCTAGGTTTTGCCTTGCTGAGAAAGCTACCTTCACAGGTGCCTCTCCTGACCCATTCTGTGTCACCCAGAGAGGGGCCGCTTTAAGGAAGGAAAGGTAAAGGGTGTCAGACCGCAGAGGTGATATATTATTTCCGTGGGTCTGCAGGGAAAAGACCAACACAGGCCTTGGGAGGCCAGGAGGACTCTACCACCTCTCTGGGCAGCCCATTCCAGAGCCTGACAACCCTTTCGGTGAAGAAGTTTTTCCTAATGTCTAGCCTAAACCTGCCCTGGTGCAGCTTCAAACCATTCCCCCTCGTCCTATCATCTGTTACCAGGGAGAAGTACAGCCTCCCTTCAGGTAGTTGTAGAGGGCGATCAGGTCTCCCCTTAGCCTTCTCTTCTCCAGACTAAATAACCCCAGTTCCCTCAGCCGCTCCTCGTATGACTTGTGTTCCAGACCCCTCACCAGCTTGGTTGCTCTCCTCTGGACATGTTCCAGCAACGCAACATCTTTCTTGTAGTGAGGGGGAGGGGGGGAAGCTCTAGCATTTCTTATCTCCTGCTAATATCTATCCAGAACAGACTACAGTGGTCCTTGACAGCGTATTTGTGGCCTGTGCTATATAGCTCCAGGGCATTGACTATACAGTACTGAACTCTCAACAGGAGGTGGGCTCAGGCCCACCAATGCTGGGGTTATCTTTAGTAATTATTTGGGGGAAAAAGTAGCAAGTCTACTCTTCAGGCATTTTAGAGGGTTCCTGCCTGGATTTCTCTTCTCAGGGATGCGAGGCAGATCACAGCCTCATTGTCTTTCGCCAGGGTTTGACCCTGCCCTCCACACACACATGCTCAGCGGGCTGGGAAACATGTTTTTCTCTCTCACTGGGGGAACAGAAGCCTTGCAAATATGTTCTCACAAACTGGAAATTTACATATAGGTACATGGATTTTTTTCTCTCTTTAGGTTATGAAAGAAAGCAAAACTAGGCGTTTCTCTCTAGATGAGGTGGTAACAAGCCACAACAAGCCCAAGCTGCAAACATGTTCATCACTGACAGAGGATTGCTAGAAAAAGTTGTGCAGCCCGCCATGCATACACCACCACGCCATGCTCGGCTGTGGCTCACGCCACCCACCGCTCTCTCCAAACTTTGCCACATGGGTGCCAAGTGGGTACCAGGTGCTTTGGAAAATTGGAGGCAAGCCCATGGGGGTGGAGTACGTTGAGAGAAGGACAGTGCCAGGTGGAGAGGCTGCAGATAGAAGCACTAAATGGAAGAAAGTGATACCGGTCCTTGTCTTTGGATAGCATCTGGGACACTGTAGGGCAAGGACAGGCTCCTTGCCCCTGCCACCTTAGCAATTAATGTAGTAAAACATTCACAATATCATGCCTGCCTGTTCAAATTCTGTTGCACAACAGTGCTTTTTACAGGTATCGAGCAAAGCCATTTTGGACGAGGTGAAGTTGAAAAGAGTGCAGCAGTCTGATTAGCAGCTGTGTGCTTCAAGAATATGGTATTTCTGTTTCTCCCCAAATCTGTGAGACTCGGTTAAACATTATGCAGTCTGTAATTCTTCCTTATCTCTAGGCTAGACAGATCAGTTGTTTCTGCTCATTGTAAATTGCATTTGCTCGCATAGTTTGTTGAGTGCTTTGCCCTCTCCTCTTGCCACCTGATTGATTACATGTACCTCAATCAATCCTGCACAGGCGTAGTGAAAAGGCTCAGTTCTTTGTAGCTTCCAGCCAGGATTCACTTTACAGATGATAACTAGCAAAGCCATTCACCCCCTGGGTAAACATGGCAAATTAATTTTGAAGCTAGGCAAACAGAAGCCAGTCCTTTGTCTGCCTTTAGCCACTCTAAACAGCCTTTTACGATGGACAGAATTGTTATCTGGAACAGTTTGCGCAGAGTTATTCTAAACGGGAAGGCAAGCTGGAGCCAGAGAATGTGGGAGAAACAGGGCTATTTCTGAACACTTTACTGGAACTAAGAATTAACACTAGTCATCAGAGGTTGCTCTGCTGCCTGATGGTAAAGTGTGGTGCCAAATTCAGCCTTTGCCCTCAGCTTTTGGCATGGCATTGCCATGTGTCACATAGCCGGAGAGCAGTGAGCCACTTTGCCCCAGCATTGAATCCTCCCCAAGACATGTTTTCTCTCACTGCCCTGAGAGCTGGTCCATGTTCTGGCTTCCTGGCATCTCGCCTCGCTGTTCCAACACGCAGCAAGGTGTGGGAGTGAGACAGGGAAAGCTGCTGGGTTTTTCTGAGTGCCTGTGTGGCAAACAGACAAACTCATAAGCTCAATCCACTTGCCTGAAGGTGATTCGCAGATAGTTCCAACAATTTACTTCTAGCAGTCAGTCTAGGGGGAAAGCAGAATCATTGCTACCTTTGGATGCTGACTCTTTTTCTGCTTTGCTGCGGCTATTGATCCAATTCCTGAGGTCAGTTGAGAAGGACTGCATAATCTGACCTCTAGTATCTACATCTGTGTCCACATACCTGGAGAGAGAGATCGATTGCTGGCAGAATATCCTGACTGACAGGTCTCCGAGTGCAGCTAAGAGGGAGATGCCAGCAGTTAATACAAGCCTCTGGAAGGAATGACCGACCAAGAGATGGTCCAGACATCCAGGTTAAGCCCTTCATTTGACCCTGAGCAGATTATTCAACTCCTATCTGTAAAATAGGACTAATGGCATTCTTGTGCTCTTGAAGCCTGACTCCTAAAGAAGTGCTTGGGAAGCCTCAGTGGAAGCACAGCAGAGTAATTTCAACGTGCTGTGTAGCTGTGCACAGGGAAAAGAGCTTGCCTTCAGGCACAGCAGTGCCAAGAACTAGCAGTGCAGGTTCACTCTCCCATCAACTCCCAGACACTTCCAAGAAGATTTCTAGCCTGGAGGAGCCCAAGGTGGGAGCACAGAGATGGCCCTTTCCTACAGCAATCCCACTAGATACAGTATCTAATGATAAAGCCTGGACAGTGACTACATCCTGTGCCATCCACTCCATGGACTTCGACAACTTTCCCTTCAGTTTAACCAGCAGCCTGCTTTCAAAGCATAGGAAACGTGGCTCCTTCCCTGAAGAACAGATATTCTCCCTGTTCTCTGCAGCAGCACTCCTGTTTCGTGATGGCACTGAAAAGCATGCACACACACAATGGTAACAGGGAAGGTGACCTAACCCTTTACATGCTAAGTGCCTTTGCTATGGCTTATGTCCCCTGCTAGCCCTCATTTTCCCATCCTATTTAAGTCTTTAAAGCTATAGCTGCACTGCCATAACAGGCAGCACCCCATTCCTCTTTTATAAATCTGAGCCATGCCTCAGGTACATTTCATTTTTTCTAACCTTGTATTCTTCCCTAGGCTGACCAGCCATAGCCTCTACAGCCAAGCGCGTTTGCTGGATTTCTCTTCCCTATTAGTGTTCTGCACAGCCTGGAGTTTGCATTGGCAACACAAGGAGTTGTCTGAAATCATTTAGTGTGTTTGCCATTTCAGTTCTTAGCTTGCCCACCCAAATCACATAGGGACAGAAATCAGATTTTTTTTTTTTTCCCCTTATTAAAGAAGAAAGTCAAATGGTTTTCATGCCTCTTGGAAACCACACGTAACAGTGCTGGAAGACTGACTTTTGGCACAATATTTGGAGAACAAAAATAGCTCAAATTTGAACTTCCCAGAATATCACTGAGGCCATGTTTGGAGAGGGCATATGTTGTCTGGCATGATGAAGGGGTAAGAAGTTCCTGTTGGAATAATTGTTAACGCTACTGGCATTTTATTGCTACTGACTGTTGGTACATCAAAGCTGTGGATAGGTAGCTTTAAAAATAATCTTGAATACCTCCCTACCTTCAGCTCCAGAGATCTTGCTTGCCTTATACCAGTTCCAAAGACTCCGGTTCTTTCATAAATAGATGCAGCTCTACCAAGTCAAGGACAATTGTAATTGCTTATTTTAGCTTTGTAAAGATTGAGGATAGCATGGGCTAAGTTAGAAGGTTGGATCAGTTTTCCACACTTGCTCTTGCACTCTTTTTACATTGTTCCTACTCCGCTTTATTGCAAGTTAGCTGTGGAGTTACGTTTTACACTGGGGCGAGCAAGGTCTCCCTGAAATCATGGAAACCAATGATATTGGAGAAAACAGGCCTAATGCTTTTCTTACTCTGCCCCCTTCTGATTTTTCAGGCCCTGCAAGGCAGTTTGGGAGTGCCAGGCTTCGCACCATTTATTGCTGCACAGACCTAATCCTGAGTTGGCCTGGGGAGCCGTCACTTATTTCAGGCTGCGTTTGATAGGACTTTAGCAATTCCCAGTTTGGAAAACTTCCATTCTAACTACTTGGCCCTGTACCTGTCTCAGGTTTCTATATCACGGAGTTTAGCTAGTTCCACTTCAAAGTCTCTGTTTATTTATATCTTTTTTAATACTGAGCCATAAATAGTGCTGAGCAGTGCCACCTCTCAAATTGTGCTCTTGGGCAGCTGTCAAACAAACATGTCGCACGAAGGGGAAGATAACAGTTCATATTCACTTAACTCCTTGAGTGCCCAGGGCAAATGTCTTAAATTTAGAGTGGGAAAAGATAGGTGATAGCAGACCTGCAGCAAAAAGAAGATGCAAAAGGAAGGATGGCAACTTGTGCGATCATGTTTGATGATCATGATCTGATGCAGGCAGATCTTTCTTACGTAACCAAGCTTAAACCCAGCATTTACTCTCTTACTCTTGCTCTGTTTCCCATTTGTTGAATGGGAACAGCTCACATCACTTTACCTTACTGGGGGCAGGGGAACCAAGGATAAATTCAACAAGGGATGCAACAGTGCATATGGGGAAAGTATGAGTAGTGTGGTATGGCAAAGATACATCTGTCCAGGCAGCCTTCTTATAAAGCAATGGAGTTCAAGAAAAGTAGATTAGCCCCTGGTCCTCCTGACAGCACAGACATGATCTAGCTAGATCCTACATTCCCCAGTGCTGAGAGCTGAAATGACAGCAGTGTATCCTTTTTCCTCCCCTCCAGATTAGCAAGACCTGCTGGGACAGAACAGGAGACTGCAAGCAAGAGGTGGGATGAGAAAGCAGTAAGTATAATTATTCCTTTGCTTCTTGAAAATCCTCAAGAGAAAATATAATTTAGCGATGTCTAGAGGAGCCCCTGACTTATGCTTGGGGTTTGTAGGACTGAAACTAGGGCTGAATGCTTTAAAAAAAAAAAAATAGGGGGCAACCCAAATAAAATGGAGTGTGCAATGTAACAGCAGCACCTCACCCAGAGCTGCAGTGCTGAACATGGCATCACATTGAAACCAGCTGGTTTTAAATGGATTCTGGTACAGTGTGAGCTCGCTCCACTCAAACCCTCTCCCTTGCTGAGCCAAAACTGCAGCTGTGCTGGCGTGTGGGGTGCCTGCTTTCTCCTTGCTATGAGGGAGACTCCAGGGCCTTCAGCCTCACTGAAAAACAAGGGGCATGCAGCAGAGTACTTTAAAATGGCTGGTACTTCTCCATGTAGACTTACTGCCCTCCCGTGGCTGCCAAGGAGCATCTCTAATGCAGAAAAGTGGAAACCAGGGACTGAGGGAAACAATAAGAAAATATAATTATATATTTAATTTAAACCAAAATGCAATTTGAGTTACAAGGAAAAGGCAGGCAAAAACCACTGTGCGATTAACTGGAAGTACCTAGGAAGGCAAGAACAAAGCAGAGAAATTTACTGCTTTGAGAGTAGCAGGGAGACCTCCAAATACTTTGTTTTGCAAGGACAGTGGGCCTTGAGCTATTCTTCACCAGACTCCCATCAGCGAGTGCCATTTACTCAAAGAGAGGTGGTCCATCTAACTTCATCCGATTGTCCCATGGAGGAGACTTCACTAGCAACTGGTGCAAAGGAGATATGGGAGAGCAGACTACTGCTCCTTTTCCTGACTGGTAGGCGTGTGCTGTGACCTTGATGTATCTATTAACCCTCGTTGCCCCAGCTCCAGCAGTGTTTATAAAGCTCTTGCTGAGACACCTCATATTGCAAATGTGCCCTCTTCTCTCTGTGAACCAGAAGGAGACAACATTTCTAGCAGAGATTGACTCCTTTCTGAGCGACTTCCCTTAGGAGTCTGAAGTTAGGTTTTATGAATGAGACCTTGAGTATTCGATGAGAGCTGCTGTAGAAGCACTGCATGATACTGCAAGGAATATCCTGTTTCTTGTACTTTCTTCATGACTGTGCTGCTTCTTGTGCACTCTCTGTGGGCAGAACGCATCTCCAGTCTTCGATGCACAGTGTACACTTTAAACAACCCCAAAGCAATTGAAACCAAAAGCAACAACGAAGCGGCAAGAAGAAACATATCAATAAGCACAAGCAGCAACTGTGTGGTCAGAAGGTAACAATGCCAAACTGATTGAATTGCACATGCTTCTAACAAAGGCACTAAGTGCTGCAAGGAGGCTGCATATCTCCCACCAATGAAAAGCTTGGGTTTGCATTAGGCAGGCTTACCACTACATCTTTGTTCATGGACTTAGCTTCAGTCTTACATGTTAGAGATTGGTGTATGCTCAAGCCACATCTGAGACTAGACGCATTGAGACGCTCATTTTAGACTGGAGAGGAGGAGTGGGTGTGACAGGGATCATGTAAGAAAATGCCAAGACAATGCACCTCCTATAAGACTTCAGGCAACAGTTGAGCGACACCTGCATCAAGACGGGCATCACCCCAGCCTACCTGAGAGCTGTGCTTTTTCAGGGATGCACATCAGTGGGAATATTAGGATTTCTTCAGGGTGGAAGAGACTGCAGTTCAGCAGAGCATGCAGCAAGTTGAAAACAGTGAATGAACATAGTAGACAGACAAATGCTTTGCTCATTCAAGTTGCCAGGTCACTGAGTCAGTATCTCATGTAGTAGCCAACTAGGGAGTAAATCCTGCCCTCTCCATTCTCACATCTTAGGCCATGCTGCACAATGTTAACATCACAAACAAAACTTCACTTTATGCACAGGTGAAAATGTCAAATGAGATGAGAAATCACTCAATATTGTTTTAAAACTTCTGTGCATGTGTGTATATACACACATAAACACACACAGTGAGTATATATATTTGTAGTAAATACATATGAACTTTTACACAATTAAAACCACTCCACTATATACATGATATACTTCTATCACTCACCAGGACAATACATTTTGTTGCACTGACAGAATCTGTTGCTCAGTTACCTTTTAAATTACAATTTTTATAAGTTATGCAGAATTGCTTGAAGACCAATCTTTGGCGAGCACAAATCTGCAGAAAACCACCAGCTCCAGTAGGGATCCTTCAATATTTGAAGGTGCCCCCCAAGTTTCCTTCAAATATCAACTCTGCTTTCATAGAAATAAATTGTTTCTAACATGCTACAACCCTGTTAAGCCAAGCAGGATTTTTCTTCTAGTACATATAAATATTCTACATCCTCTCTACACCATGCAATGCAAGAAGTAAAATCACGTTTGCAAGTCACTGTGTTCTGACTGGGCCCCATACCTGTTTTAGTTAAAAGAGAGAAAACCCCAAACAAACAAAAAGAACAACTCTCACCTAAATCTTAAAAATCAGCGGACAGAGCTCTAGTGATTTATGTTTCCAAAGGAAATACCTTTTAGTAATAATTAACTTTCTCTGCAGCTGTTAAGTCCAAACACTGCAAATGTAAGAAATGAGGAGAGAAAACTAAACAAAGAACAAAAATTACTTGTCCAAACTGAAACACACAACTTGTAAAAACCCTTATGCACTTTTTAAAAATTTGTATGAATCACCTGTGTGATGTCCTTGTTGAATATCAAAGATTAGGTTGAACAAGTCCATTGGAAAAAGCACCGCCTTAAAAATGTGTAGTTCAAAGCCTTATCTAAAAACTATTTTCAGAGATGAAATTCTGCATCTCTCAATGACATTGCATTATTCACAAAACCTTGCATAATGTTACATTTTGAAACACTGACATTGATCAGCTGTCAAAGAAAACAGAGCTTGTTTGCATAATAAGACACTCGATTAAAAAGAAAAGAAAAAAAATCACAGAACTTGGCTATTTCTAAAAAAATTACTCTCGAGGTAGAAATAAAATTATTTTAAAAGGTGGTGAAAACAGTAAGATTCAGTCAAAACTGTACTTCTTACTGGCAACAAGCACTGTGATTTTTTTTTTTTAATGAACTCATTTGAGACTGTGTAAATATTCCTAGCATTAACGATGCCTTATGTAGAGTAATGTAACAGCAGATTAAAGTTTGCACCCCCATATTTTGATACAAACTGTGACAGGGCATTTCCAAAAGAGTCCCTTTGACATCAAATAGCTGTTTTAAAATTTGTAATTAAAACAAAATCATCTTTAAACAGTACCAAAAACTAGGTAAACCAAGCCTCGATCAGTGTAAGAGGACCTTTTCATACAGGGAAGGCAAATGGTCCTTTGGAGTAGTTACAACAATGTGCAGAAATGAGACCAGAAATACACACAGGAAGTTACAAGTCAACTGATTTACTGGAGTTGCGCAGAAATTTCCACACTATGGTAATTTGAGGATTGTAGTATAGACCCAGAAAAAGATTTCCAAAAAGATAAAATGCTGGGAGGAGACAGGAAAAAGAATCTGTCTTCCCACACTGAGGATCTGATGCGCTGGAAAGGGCAGCCCTGCCTTCAGCTGTTAGCTGCGGTGGTGGATGCCCTCAGGACCAGAAGCCTGACGTTTAAACATCCCACCACTGACATCCTGGCTAGATGCGTCATGGCTCGCTGTATCTCACTAAGGTCAGAATAAATAGGCATTTGGGGCAATTTCAACAGAAATTGTGTGCACAGAGGCCAGCTTATTAAGTTCAACCTCACTTTTCTAATGCTCACAACCAGGTGTAATGCAGTGCTCTGTTCTGTGCCTGCTGACTGCTACGCTTTTCTGATCACAAGTTTGCACCGCATGTTTGCGCAATGCTTCAAAATTCTGGAGTACAGTTAAGCTTGACTGCAATTCCAGGGCTAATACACCTTAGCTTCTGGTAGCACAGATCACACCCTTCACGTCTCCAGTGTCCCATGCTACATACAGGTTTCTGTGCTCCCAACAGCCAGTGGGCACATCAAATAACATAAAAGTAACACTCTGACATCAGCAGTGAGCCAGGCTTTTCACTGGAGTCCCAAGAGTCCTATGAAAAAATCTCACTTCAACATCTAACTATTAGATTTTTAGTACACATCATGTCACAGAGTTAGTGTTTTCCTTACAAATATATGGCACTAAGTGCAAAACTTTATGACTTATTCCAAACAACGTACCATACTTCACAGCAAAGCTTTAAAAAGAATCCTCTAACTCCCACTTCTTCTAAATATACAGCTGGTGGGAGGCCAGGGTGTCCATGAATGGTCGCACAAGGTTGTCTGTCGAGAAGTAAAAGACCAAGCCAAAGGTGATGGAGATGGGAAGAGCAGGCAATGCTTTCTTAAAAACAGCCAGTAATAAAAGAGTTAAGCATAAACCCTGCCAGAGAGAAGAGAATAAAAAACACAAGGAGATAGAGTAAGAAGCCCAGAAATGTATCTGTCATCAACAAACTAAGATACAAATATTAAGCTATACACACTGTACAGCAACTGAAGCCTTCCTGAGCTACCAGTGGCATGAGGTACATTTGCCCACACCTTCATCTTTCACACAAGCTGGCCAGGTATTTTCCTCAGCAATCCTGAGCACAACTCTGCTGAGAAAGTGGCATAAACAGCTAATGCTGACATACAGCTGACCCCGAGAGGTTAATTTATTTACAGATTATTTTACATTTTGTTCTACACCATTACATATGAAGTACTGATCCAGCAGATAAAAGCACTTAAATCCTGGTGAACTGCACAGATAAGGAATTTCAGTGGAGGACTAATACACAGCAGCACGTACTTCTAACACCTTCCCAGTTTTCAAGGTCTCTTGGGGTAAAAAAAAAGAACAAAAAACCAAAACAAAATATCCATTGCTGTTCTTTTTCACTGGATTGCTTACTGTGATAGGAGAATTCTGGTTTTATCTGGATAGCAGGCCAGTATCTGGGTTTTTTGAGCATGTGTGAAAGAAAGCTTCTGTACATTTTGGGTAGGCAGTATGGCTAAGTGCATTTAGGTATAGATTCCTCTCATCTGAGCCCTTTTTCATTCCTCCGTGATGACAAAACTTCAGAAACACTAGGCTGCAAAAATTTTAACAGCACCATAAAAGAAACAGAACAGGGCATTTGGCCTCACAGACGAGAGCGCATTCCCTGCAAGTGAAGGGGCCCTGTGCTGGACCCCAGGATATGGAGCTAGGCGATCCTATAGGTTTCTCCGACCTGTGAGGTAGGAAAGGTCCCTGTGAGGTCCCTTCCAACCCTTACGATTCTGTGATTCTGTGAAAGCTACACCCACCACACTCTAAGTTAGCTCGTTTCTAGTTCTCATGCTTTTTGATCCATGATCCTCACACATGAAAGTCACTGTCTTTCACTATCCTTGGAATGTAAGTGGGGAAACGGAGGCCCAAGAAGGATGGGATAATTAATTTTCTTCTACCTTCTAAAACTCCTACTGTTGCCCTTCTGGTTAGTTTCCATGAGGATGGTGGTGCAAACAGCAAGTTCCTAGTAATAATTTTCTACCTAGGTGAAAGCTCAACAGTGTGTGGTCATTAGACCTGGCAGGACCAAGTCCTTTAGCAGTTACAGTATGATTGTCATCTGCTTTTATTGATAGTTTCCATGGACTTTTAAGTCCCCTTCCTGCCTGTTTTTTCCAGCGTGAACACAAGAACAGGATAGATCTTCATCCTCTTATTTAGCTATTCTCTTTAGCAAAAGGGAATTAACCTTTTCAACTACACTTGCTAATCAACATGAGGTTCATAATACTGACTTTGGTGACTTCCTTCAGCCACAAATCTTTAACACTGAAGCAAACTCACTTAACAGTTCAGCTGCGACTATTTTCCCTGGGGCTGTTTCACCCCCACCACCTCCACACTTGGCTCTGCTCTGATGAATCCTCCCTTCCAGCCCGTATCATTCAGCTTCTCCCTGCAGCTGTTTAAAGCCTGTCTTCATAGACAGAGCACTGTGCTAGGAAATCCACTGGTGGTTTCTCCTAAACATCCAGCATGTTACCTGCAGAGATTTAGCAGTGCTCAGCTGCTGGTGCTTCTGGCAACACCACAGTGCTAAACAGGCTGTACCCGAGTGTTTAAAAGCTTGCTCACTTACTATGAGAATGGCTACAAAGCAGGCCAGCGTAGTATTCCAGTCTCCACTAGCTGTGGCAGCTGCTTTCCCAACAAGCACGCTGTAGAATATGAAGTCTCCAAGGCCCAGCTTCACACCCCCTGAGAGAAGTGGAAAAAGGAAACAAGTGTTACTTCTGCTGCTCCTGTTCTGCTTCCTCCTGAACAAATTCTTGTCCCCTGGGGAGTAAGTGCTTAAGTTGTCTGTGTAGCCAAGAGATGTCACTGGAACTACAATCCCCAAGCAGATCCTACAGCAAGAAGTAATACAGAGTCAGACTCAAGATCTTTTGTTGCTCAACAAGTCACAAATCTTCAAGTTAACTGCGATTAGGCCAAACTGGGTAACAGAGTGTTAACCATAATGAATAAAAACGTCAGGCACCAACTCCGACTACACTGAAAACAAGGTATGAAGCTTCCCTTACTTTCCTCCTCCTCGAGCTCCTCGAAAGAAGTGACGGGGCGGGTTGGAACAGGACTCCTCGTCTCCGATATCTGAGAGTCTGCGTGTGAAGGGCTCCTGTGGTTCTCTCTCCCATCCTCAGCTTGATTCCACAAAAATAGGCCAAGAGCAGACAAAAAAACCACAAGAGGTAGCTACATTTATAACTTGTTTTAATGCATGAAATCCACACTTCTGCAAAGGTTCTCTGGAATGGTCTTTGTTTCTTGGAGGTATAATCATCGGGACCAGTTAAAGCAGAGACATGTAGTGGCTTTGCAGAAAACACCTGTGTTATTATTTGGAACAGTCGGAAGGGTACACATTCACAGCTTCTTTGGCAGCTACCCAGTTCAATGGCTTTAACAAGTGAGTACATACGCAGAACTAAGCATTGCTCTGCACAGGCTAGAATGGCAAGTAAAACCAAGTAAATTTAATACACATTCCCACATTGTTATAGCTTTGGGGTGGAGGTGCTCAGGTATTCCTTAACTGGTAGTATGACAAAAATGGATGGCTAAGAGGACTGTCATTTACGAGAAAAGTTCTGCCCTGAATCACATTGGGGCTGGGTGTTCACACATTGTAAGTGGACACATTTGGTCGTTCACAGATTTAACTTTTTTTTTTGTCCTGTTAAACACATCAAACAGAGCCCTTGGTAGTGCTTTTGGAAGCAGCCAGTCTGTGATATAGTACTCTATCTGACAGTTCCTATTTTTCAGGAGTGCTCATGCAAACTTTCCAGTCCACGTCAGTCTGACAGGATGCTGCCACTGGACATGAGAGCAGACTGTGATCTAGGACACACAGAACTTCCAGAGTGGCATTCTGTACACCTCAGCATGTAGTTTGCTCCTGCTCTGTGCCCAGTTTCAAAGCAGGATTGTGTCCATGTGTTAGCACATCAGCTGCTTTATCCTGAAATAAGCAGCATGTTCAGTTATCAAGCCATAGCATATATTTATTGCTTTAACATGAAAAGGTACTGTCATCTGTGAAGAGCAAAAGGACCAGATGAGAAATCCTCCCAGCACCACAAGTCAGATTTTATTCAATCACTTTCAAAACTGCAGTTTAACTCACATTTCAAGAAGTTAGAAGCAAATGCACAAAAATTACCACAGGACCAGCTAGAATGTAAACTTGGAACACATTAGCTACTGTTGGGTTACTGCCCAAACATAAGCCTTTACCCAAGGGTAAATGTAAAGACGTTCATTTTCTTTGGCAGGGTAAGCCATATTGCACTTACAGCTAGGTAAAAGCACGTCTGTGCTGTGGCAATGGCCTGAATGCAACATGTTACAACACACTTAAGTTCACCAGCTCATCTGCACGGTATTTATGAGCCTATGTTGTAATTTACCATCCCCAGCTAGTAAAGATATAAACCCCCACTAGCCCATGACTTCAGTACATCTGAAGATGTGTGTTGGACAACACTTTTGTTTGGTTTTTTGCTTGGTTGGTTTGTTTTTTAAATAAAGGCAGCCTGAATGCTGGAGCTTCCTACATTGTCTGGTCATCTTTGCTGCCAGTCCAAACAGCAGGTTTCAGAACATCACAGAGTTCTGCAACTCATGTAACAACACGGGGAAAAAATGCATTCATCAGGGTTCAGGGGCTTACATTTACTTGCAGTCTCAAACACACATATTATTTCCATGGGCCAGTGTTCTGTATAGAAGAGTGACATGCAAGCAAACCTGCATCCCATGTCTGCTGACTTGGTCCTCTTGCTGCTGTGTCCAGCTTTGCCATTCCAACTGTCCATATCATAGCAGCTAGAAGAAAGAGAGGAAGTGATCAGCCGCATTAAACATCGGTCACTACAGCTCAGAGGAGCCAAGTATTTAGCTGTGCCTAAAAATATAAACCCTTGCCCCATAAATGCTTTTAAAACACTCACTCTTGGTTGGTTTCCCTAGGCACTTAGAAGGCAAGGTAGAAGAAAATTAAAGCAGCACGTCCATTCAGTTTTTAAGAAAGTCCCAGAGCACAAATAGCTAAGAGTCAGTATAGTCCTCTCTGTAGGCTAAAGAAAGCAAAAATCCAGAACTAGGGTCCTCATCTCCTTTGTCTTCTTCCTGGCTTCTGACTCTTAAGAAAACAATTGCCCAGGAAATGATGGTAGTACAAAAGGTAACCAGAGGTTAACTTACACAGCTTGCTCCTCATGTTCTGCTAAAGGTAAAGCACACAAGCAAGGGATATGCAGGAGTTGTCAGAATGCCAGTTTTCTCCCTGCCTGTTTGTTTTGGTTCTTTCCTGTCAAAATATTGGCTATTTCTGTTTTGGTTCCAAGAACAACTAAAGGATGTTTGGGGGTTTATTCTTGAGATGGATCCCTAAATTAAAAAGGAATACGAACCATTCTGAAATCAGTGGAGGGGAACTCAAATCAGCTGTTGATTTCAGTGTGCATCAGTCTTCCTGTTGTTACAGAAGCTGAACAAAGCCAAAGCAAACACAGTGCCTGCTTTTCCACTACAAGCTCAGCCAAAGTGATGTTTTTGCATCTAGAGAGTGCCACAGAATGTGGTCTTGCAATGGAAACACTGATGTTCTGCACAAGAATTTTTTGTTCAGTATTTATTATTTATTGAATTGCATTCTCCCTTAGAGAAACTCGTTTGTTAACTAAAACATGTGAGAGACTTATTGTCTCAGGTCAGTATAACAGAATCTCCAGTAAAAGGGCGGTCAGCTGAAGCCAACAGAAGCTCTGCTTGGAACATATAAAAGCATTTATACAACACTAAATGCTTGGGGGGGAAAAAAAAAATAAAAAAATCAGTTGGGTTGTAGGCATCCTCAACTTAGCACCCAACATGTGGAAATACCCATTCATCTTACAAGTGACGTAATGAAAAAGTCATTGAGGCCCATGAAGCGCTTGAGTCCAGGTCCTCTGAGCATTGAGTCACCCACCTTCCAGCTACCTTAATCTTAAGCACATACACACTTTTGCAGATAAGGGCACCAGACACCATCGTAGTTAAACAGCCCAAGAAAGCCTGGGAAGAGACAACTGATTTTGTTTGCAGAGCAATACTTGAACAGAGCCCTTTACAAAGCCAGCAGCCACACAACGAACAAAAAAGCAAATACATTCTAAGCACTGCCATCCATACAGTGCACAGAGCAAGAGGGGGCTACAGGAAAAATGGAACCTCATCACACGTTTAAAGTGTGTCTATAAAGCATATGCACAAGGAATAAGTGTACTGAGTGAGCATCATCTAATCACAGAACTCTGTGAACACTACTGTCCATCTAACACAGACTTCTGTATGCAAAAGAAAGGGGCATGTTCCACACTGTATTCACAAAAGGATAAATCTACTTTTGAACATTTCAGCTTTACACAAGGCAAATGTGGGCTCCCTTTGGCTAATTAGAGTTAGCACCATTGTAACTGATAAATAAGGCCTTCTACAAGTGGGCTGTTCCACAGCATAAATACACACCAATCTTAGGGCAAGGAAGTAACTAAAATAGGGCTCTTTGGTTTGACACAGAAATAGGTTGCTAGTTTAATCAGGTTAAAAATATTAGTATTCTAATCTTACTCACAGGAATATATTAATGCAGGAAAAATGGGCTCATTTCTCTCCTGTGCAGTTTCTACCAGCATTCTCAGTGGCCCCTTGGGACAGAGAACAGCCATCAGATCTGCAAAGAGAAAAGGGCCAGACAATCTCATCTCAAATTATCATGCATATTTTACATTCTTTATCTTTAAAAAGCTATTCTCCCCTCAAAATTACATCTATCTATATTAACTGGATGATTTCCTGAATGGCAGTTTCTGCCACATTGCATAACTCTAGCTGTTCTAGTCCCTGAAGGTGTTGTTCACTTGAAATACCATCCCCCAAGGCTTAATGTAATAATAATTTTCATTGTGTTAATCCTATAAAAAGCCTCTTGGGAATACCACATTATTTCTTTGAAAGTAGATGACAGCATTACATTGAGGTGTTACAATTTAATTAGAGGAGGACTGGGGGTACTTTGTTCATGTTCCACAGTCCATCACCACATACACCAACTGCGTTTCACATGAGTGAAGGCTTTTGGTCCAGTTCCTCTTTGCCTGCCCTCTCTCCTCCATCAGAGCTCCTCACCAATCTGAATGTTACCTCCCAGCTGCCTCTTGTTCTGCAGGTTCTCTTGAAATGTTTAACTCATACCAAAATCCACGATCTCTTGATAACTGTAAACAAAACCTGCAAGATTATCAGGTTGCTACTGATAAAAATCCAACCACCACTACCATGCAGTCAGATGTGGTTCAGTACTTCCCTGACTTGGTGTTCCACTTCAAAAGACATGGCAGGGGTACAGTACCTACCTGAACAAGTTAGCAAGAGACAAGCCATGGAGTCAACTTAATTGCATATCTGCCTCTTTCTAAAGCTGTTAGGACCATAAAGTTGTTTTCCGAATTATATACGTGGTAACCTCTCCATGAGCCACACCTTGGGAGTCACAACCCAGACTTACCATAGATGGAGATTGCACCTAGAATCACCCATGCTGACCACTCGGGTAGATATTTAATGAAAACCAGTGCCATCAGAGCACTGATCATAATGAGATATGCTTGCTGGAGCTGCAAGGGACCTTTCCAGTGTATGCAAATCATTCCAACAGCTCCAAAATTCCAGATGACTAAGAACAGAGTGGGGTAATCCATGGCCACGTTGTAGGTCTTCAATACTTCACTGAAATACAACAAGGAAGTTTAGCTAAGCAATAAAAGCAGCTGACACACAAAGCATCCTACTAGCTGTAGTTAAACAAGCCTACTACTACACCAGGAGGAAGCAGGTTAGAGCAGCTCTCATCATGAAAGGGAAACCTGCTTTGCAGCCAATTGCTGCTCTTAGCTCTCTCTTCCTCCTGCAGGAGATGGACATGCTGTGTGCACAGACAAGCACCACAGTGCCATCATCCTGAGGTCTTAGGATTTCCCGATTCCAAGGGTCTGAGCAGGCAGTTCAGGTCGTAACTGAACATAGGCCTGCAGCTACATGACTGTCTGAAGCAAAGAAGTCACGCAAGAGTCATCCCACCAGATGCACGATGCTCACAGTTAAAGATGAAAAGTTTTAACAAGTGTTAAATCAGCAAGTTAAAAGCTTGGTTCTACCTGAGCTGGGAGCTAAGGGAATGAGCTTGAAACAACATAGTCTGAGAAAGAGGCAAGACAAATCAGAGAACCAACTCGGCACATAAAGTTCCTTCCCACTTGCTTCTCAACATATAATTCAGGGCCTCTGTACCACAACGGTCAGCCTTTTCATTTCATGCTCACGGTATCACTTCCCAGTGATTTTTTGTAGAGTAAGCACTGTAAAATCAGGCACTGCCTATCAAAGACCTCGTTTTCTATTTTTTTTTTTTTTTTGTTTTAAAAGAAAGCCATCTCATTCTAACAATTTTTAAACCTCCCTTTGGAGAACAGGAGATACTCCTTTTCTTGTTCTAATTGGGGATTTTCTGCAAAGAGGTGAAAGAGCTCTGAACTGCCAGGTTACCTGCACCATTCCCACTTACCCGAGATATATGTAGGTAAAGAGGAAGAGCAGCATCAAAGAGGACAGGATGAGCCAGCCGTGGATGAACTATCAAGGGTAAGAAGAGACAGTGATTGAAGGGGCTGTTCCCCCTCGCACAGGCCATGGTGCCATATGCACTATTGTCAGAGATGCACTATTGTCCAGTCTCCTCCTTCACTCCTCCTCCAGTTTCCAAAGACCCTGCCCTCCCCACTGCCAGTGAGGGAGGGGGGACAGCCAGCTGCTCCCAGTTCTCCCAAACTCTTACATTTTATATTCTATCCTTTGGTGTTTAGTTTTGTTGGTTCTTTTAGCCTCTTTCCTACCCACTTCCATGTGTACCGATACTGGCTCCTAGCTTAGACAGGAAAGCACGTTCTCTCTGCTTGGTGGGGAGGAGGAAAGGAGGTTTGCCCAAGGCTGTACAATAAATCCATCTCAGGGCCAAGTTTAAAAAGCAGCAATGGCCAGTGCTCAAATGCTGGGCTGGCACCACATATACCAACTCCCTGGGCACCACAAAACCTGAATGTGCCTTTTCCTCCAAGCCTTGTCCCCTTCCACCAGAGCCTCCACAGGCAGGCAGAATACCAATTCCCACAAAGCTTGTCTGAAACTTAAGAAAAGGCATGTGCAGTAAATGGCACAACTTACTCCGTAAGTACAAACTGCAAAACTTTTTGATCAGATGGAGAAGACTCAGACCTGACTAACACAAAGTAGCTGGCCTTGTTTTTAAGTGACAAAATAGCAGCCAAGCATATTCGGGGGCACAGCTCTACCACTGCTGACAAACGCTTCTGTACAATATGATTCTTGCTGTGACTAAGATGTGGACTAACCCATGCAATGCCTGTATTTCTCACCGACATGCAAGACCCACTTGAACTCAAATTCTCAGCATATAGGTGGGAAAGGCTCTGGCATGAATGCTTTACCTTGTAGCAGCGATATTTATAGAGCAGAACTAGGAACACTGTCATTACAACGATCACGCTGATCATTATGATGGTGTTCAACACCGAGTTCAAGAGACGCTGGCCCACAGATGGGGTATCCTCACTGAAAGGGGTGTAGATCCTGCAGTATAAAGCAAAAGCCATATGAAGTACATACATTCTCCTCTAACTGCCCCAAGATAAACCCAGACCTCTCTGTGTGTGGGAAAGAAAAGGAGGTATGACTGCCAAGGACAGCAAACACGAGATGTAGCCTCTGAAGGGGCTGGGCTCCAGTTAATTATCAACTAACGATTAGTGGTCTCTATCAAAAGCACATTCCTACAGAGAAGTTGTGGCTGGCAGAGCTCTAAACAAAAAGACCTAGAGTATAAATGACTTCATTTAAATTTAATAACTTCTCTCCAGGCCACAAATTTTTATTGCATGCTCTGGACGGTCTCCATGACAACTATAAAGATACATCCCAGGTGCTGTCCTGAAAGGGGGGGACCCTTTCTTTCCACACTTGGTAGGAGAGTCTTGGACTCTTTTTTTTTTTCTCCTTCTCATTACCCTGCAAACCACCACTGCCCCATCCCCCACCCCCATTTTGTTTCCTTTGGTTCAGTTCAAGGGACCACAGTCCCCATTTCTCCACCCGCCACGTGAAGCGCAGTTAGAGCCCCAGGAGCGCTCTCAGGCACAGTCAGCAGGAGCTGGATGGAATTATGTATCCACACCATGAGTCTTCAGGAACCAGAAATGTCATCAGGAAATGAGACACTCATCCAAATGAACATGCTATTCCCTGATTGCTGCCAGCTAGTGGGTGAACAGACTCGGAGTTCAGCCTGGGCCTTTTTTGCTGCAGTCTGAAGCAACTTCATTATTACACTGCTTGCAGGCTTCGCTTAAGGTGCCCTAATGACAGCGCTAACGACTCAGTATAAAGCAGGTATGAAAGACTTGCACAGATGAATGTAGCATACTTTAGTAAGATCTTTGTAGGTTTACCCAGCCACCTTTAGCTGTGTAAAGGTTCTCCCAACCTGCCAAGGCAGCACGCTGCATACACAGGCGCGCGCGTGTGCAACGCATATGTAAAGCTAGGGATCCCGTGTACTCAGAGGCTGTTTTCAAGACCCCACTTACAGCTGCCCGTTTTTCTCCGTATAGAAGCGCACTGACTTTATGGTGGCGACGACAACAATCATACAAAGGGTGACAGGCACAAAGAGCATGATTACATGCTTTGCTCCATATTTCAGAGTCAGTTCCTCCTCTTCGTTTTCCATGGCGCTTTCTCTCACTGGAACACCCGAGTCAGACGTATCCCCATCAGCAGTATTGTTAGGGCTACGGCTGCTACCTGTTCGCCTCTTCTGAAAAGAAATATTAGCAAATATGTAAGACTTTCTTTTCTTTGTGTTCAAAGCTTCGTTCCATCGTATTTCAACTTGTTCCTAATAGAAAGGTACCAACTGAACAATACCATTAGAAATTCCATTATAAAGAGGCTGCAATGGAGTTTTTAAACTAAAACCATGAGTATCTAAGGGCCTCTTCAAGTCCAAATATATAGATGGACATATGCACATGAAGGGCAAGGTGCACAGAACTGAGATAGAAGAAACATCATCTGAGGTGGCATAAGCTTGGTCAGTTCCTCCTCCCACAGCAGTGCTGTGCTTGCTTTATCCCACTGCTTTGCTGGCAGCAGGAGTAGATTCTGTTCTGACATTTGCTGCGTTTGACCAGAGCAGACAGGGTTTCTGGCAAAACAAGAAGGCTGAAAAGGATATCCTGCACAAGTGGTATGTGCATCAGGTCCTGATTAAAAGCCTGTATCTTTACCAAAAGGAAGGAAAAGGGAGGAGTATATACAGAGATAAAAAGGGGGGGAAAGTCACAGCGGAGGAAATGGGAACAGGCACTGCTGCTGCTGCTGGCCAAGAGAGTGACACCAGAGAAACAACAGTGGCCAAAGCCAATCCTTGAAGCCAGTCTGCTGGGAGGGACTGAGGGGTAGCAGAACTACATCTGTCATCATACCCCATTTCTTCACTCCGTGGGAAGTGATATATACCTACCCACATACCTACCCTATGCGCCTGCGCTTCCCCTGCTTCTGAGGCTTGCAGGCCATCCCGGTAGGAGGGTACTGGAGGGCTCTCTGCAGACATCAGGGATGTTCTCTCATTGCAGGGCTCCTCCTCGCTGTCTGAGTTGTTCATGAATGTGATCATTATCGCTTTCCCAGGGAGCACTCAGGAGGAGCACGGCCAAGCACTACTCAAGGCTGAGGGGAGAAGCAGAGCAGAAGGAATGAAAAATAGCGAACACCACAGTGCAAACTGGAAGTCTGAAGAGGAGAGACAATTTCACCAGGGAGGTTACAGCATGCTATTGAACTCCATCTCCTTCCAACAGCTGATTTAGCCTGCTGTCACCCCAGGCATGACAATCCGTTCAGTTAAAGTCACAGTGACTTTTGTGGTCAGGGAGAACAGCAAAATGCAGCACTGAAGCAATTCAACACTTTTTCTTTGCCACAGCCTTCACAGTGTCTGCCTCTATTTTCCCTCTCTCATTAGCACACCTTGACTTTTACAAAGGAGATTTCTCAGTGCTTAGTGTTTGTTTTTCACGGGCCAAACAAAACTTCACCCCAAATGCAGGCTGCCTGCTAGAAAGCTAAGAGAGTTCAGCTCTTACACAACACTCCCACAAGCATCGGCAGGTAGGAAGAGTTTCTTAGTAACCCGGAGCCTTGGCTGTACGTAAGCCACTAACCAGGAGTTACATGCCATCTTCCCTGTTATAACTTTATTATTAGCCAGATGAATTTCACAAGCAGTTCTTCTCTTTGCCCATGGACAAGGAGAGGTTTGTGTAAAAAGGGAAAGACCCGTCTCCTTAGGTCAGCCACTTCCTTTTTTTCCCCTTATGTTGCCTTGTGATTAAAAGCAAAACCACTTGGATGGGCAACAATTTGGAGTATAGAAGTGGGGGCTAGAAGTGTTTGGCCTCTTTCCACCTACTACTGTGCAGAAAACAAGCAAAACAGCGGCACAGTGCACAGAGGAAAGGAACAGCTCGTCTTTCTAGACACCAGAAAGAAGACGTGTACTGCCCTGGATACTGCAAAACAGCCTTAAAGCCAGGATTTCAGGAAGCTCTAAAGGCAGGTGGTAGGAAAATTCCTTTTAGCCTTTGTTAAGTCAGCGTAACAAAGCCACTGGAGTACATAAGGCTAATTCAGTTACCTTTTGATTCTCAGCCACTTGTCCATAAGCAAAACCAGACCTCTCTAACACATTGTTAAGCTGTAATATCTACAAGAACACCTCCTCTCCTCTGCAGTATTTTACACAAATCATCTTGCAAGAAAAAGCCTATGTGTCTCAGGAAATATATCCAACTCAGAAGAGGAAGCTGAAGAAGCCATGTGACTTGGACACAGTCCCTTAAATCTGAATCATGCATTCACAATCCCACCAGTACACCACGCTGTCTATCAGCCAGCGTGAGAGGTCAGATTGGACACTTTGAAGATCTGCGAGATATTCTTGATTCTCACTTCTCACTAAAGAACTTGAAATTCACTTTGGAGGAAGGAGTGGGAGATTCCCCTTTCTTTCACAACCTCCTCAACACATCTGGCACCTTCAAGAAATTTGAGAATGTCAACTCAATCTGGTTAAGTGAAACACTTTTCAGACATCTGCTCCTCCCCTGCCTTCTCTTCAAGCCTTTTCATATCATTTTGTTCCTCTTTTAGTGATAAAAGTGGTGCAGTTACAGGAAACAAAGGGGTAGTCCTTGAGCCAGGCCAGTCAGCTTCATGGTAATACTGTGTTCTTACTGAGTGAGACCCCCAACACCTACATTTATGTGCTTGCTTCTTACAAAGCCTGAAATCTCCACTCCAGGTGCTTAACACGCTCTTACAACTGAATATGTGGGGGCTCATAATTTATAGTTGAGAGCCTAGATTCTGGGTCAGTTATGGGATTTAGGCCTTCTTTAAAGAAGTTTTATACATAAAGTCATTCAATCATGACATACTTCTGGATCTGAGCAGGTTAAGTTATGCATGCCATGGGATCCGTGGCCCACAGAATTTAAATAACTCAAAACCTTCTGCCCATGTCAGAGATCAGGAAAGAAATAAAGATCTACTCTCTGATAGTTTGGGACTGATACCAGGTTTTAACAACCCAATGCAAATATTAAAGAACCTTTTCTCCAACTATTTAAGAAGCTGCAACACAATTTTTGCTATATGAATAGAGCAATTCTGCAGAGGATTTAGAAGGGACAGCCAATTAGCCTACTTTCAACACCCTAGTTTTGCCCACTGGAAGAGTTAAACCAATAGCAAAACCACAGAACTAATTACTAACCTCCACAACTACATGGAAAAAAAAAATCTTATGATGTAGTACAGTTGGTTTTAAGCTGGACATTTTCTGTTATTCTCCCTCAATAAGGCTATGGACAAATGCAAAGATGCAACAATACTTCTGGTCAGCAGGCAGACTCAGGCCTGAGCACAGCTTTGTTTACAAAACCACTCTCCCTTGTTTACAAGGCTTTGGTTTCATTGAGGACTGATACGAACAGACCCCAACACATCCGGGATTTTACAGGAGTTCCTGCAGCAACCAGCCTTCAACAAATCCTCAGATGCCACATTCACAGCTGCCTTAAACTGACCTAAATACATGGTCCTGCCAAAGGGGTTGTCCCACCATCCTCAGTCTCTCTGGTGCCAACACCAGGTGCTTATCAGCTGTCCAGCTCTTTTCAAAAAGACAACAGGCACTTGTTTTCCTTTGCTTTCACAGAGCCAGGTTCCAGCAGGACAGGCTCCCCAGCTGACTATGGCAGCAGTGCCAGTGCCCACAGGAGGAAAAGGGAGCATGGGGCCATCCCGCTGACCGTCCCGAGCCCTCTGCTCACTCCCAGACAACCAGCCCATCCTCACCTCAGGTCTGCAACATCTATGGCAGCGTGGCTCTTAGCCAAGCAGGGGGTCTTTGACAGACAGTTTGCAGAGGCAGGAACACTGGCCCTCCCCCTCTGCCCCACCACGGACCCAGCAGGGAGTTTGTCAGAGCTGCACTTGTGAACTGGCACCAAGGCTGTGCTGGCTGCTGTGAAGAGCTTTGGTTTAAGCGGTCTGTCCTTCAGGGGCATCACAGGACCAGCCTGGTCACTCTCACACCCACCTACCCAGCAAAACAGCACCCCTTTGGGCTGAGCAGAGGGGAAGAACAGAAATCTTCTGCCCTGGGGGCTTACTTGCCAAACAGAAAGGGAGGCACAGAGCACCGGGCAACCAAGAAAGGGGTGTTATAAAGCCACACTGTTTTCTGATATCATGTCACCAACTAAACTAAGGAAAGGGGCCTTGCAAAGATGATTTCTGCCTCCCAGGATGCAGGGTCCCCCATAAGGGAATGCACAGGAACCTTCTTTCCTACTGGTGTGCATGATACCAAATATATCAGTGCATACTGACTGTGTTTTTCTAGGCTCAGCTGAAAAGAGTGAAGGAAAGGAAAGTATGGAAGGCTGAGACCAGCACACTTCCTTTCCGGCTGTAGCAACAGGAGGAGCTTTCGGGGTGGGATAGAAATGCAAGCTGTATCTATATTCACAGACAGGTATAGAGCATGGTCTACCAAATACAGTAAAGAAAGGAGATGAACTACACATGCCAGACCATCATCAAACTGACCCAGTAGGTTGCAAGGTGTCAGGCAAGGTTTTCCTCTTTTCCTCTGTGTGTGGAGTCAAACCACTAGATCCCATTCAAAATCATCTGATGTTTAAAAGCCAGAAGACCAAACTCAAAACCGTATGGTAAAAGTGAAAGGGGACAAAAATGAGGTCAGTGGTAAGTATGTCTTATAACTGAGCAGCTGAGGTGGGAATAAAACTCCTGCGTTATAGCAGTCTTGTGAAGCCTGCAGGAGAGGAGTCACCATTTCTCTTGTTCCAGATGTCCTTCGTGCCCCGCCCTCTTTCCTCAACTGCAAGAAATCAGCTTTACAGATTTTGATGAAACTGGGCCAATTCACACTAACATTAGGATCTAGCCTTGGTTTGCCTTTTGATTTCATGCTGCAGCATCACTGTGCTGCAAACAAACCTAAATAATTTGCTCTGCATTTCATCCATCGCAGATAATACCAGTACAATATACAGCACGGAATAGGCTGGCAGAATACTTAATAATTCACTCGAGAGTTAAAATTCCTGCTTATACGTATTGTTCTCTGATGGCAATTAGATGAAGAGAAATAGTTTTCCCTTGCTATATTTAGATCAAGGGAAAGTTTCAGGCCGACACTGACAGCCTGATGCTCCCCTAAGTTTTGGCTGTAGTAAACACTGCTGTTGGTAAATATGTAGAAGAGGAAAAAACTTTAAAGAGATCCTAAGTGGTGGGAGCAAAATTAGGAAGAAAGATTCCCAGGTTCTTGCCAATAAATAGAGCCAGAATGTGTATGCTGCTAAAACAACAGGGGAACACAGTCTCAGTGGTCGAAAGAGAACTTGCAAATGCCATTCACTTTCAGCCCCAGAATGCAAAAATAACAAAACATGAGGTCCTATGGGAGGCTGTAGAGATTTGTAGCCCTCTTTCTCCTTTTCAGGGCATGCTAACAGAGCTGGACTAGCACTACTTTCTTTTGGCCCACAGGAAAGGCACCTCATAGCCCCAAAGGGCTATTTTGCTGGCAGAGCTGAAACCAGACCCTGCCCAAGAGGGTCAGAAGGATTATTTTGCCAGCATTAAGCCCCCAAATACACTAGCAGTCAGTTTCTCGTCACAGCATAGAGGCACCAGAGCCCCGCAGACCTACTTAGGCCAGTAAAACCTCAAAGCCTGGGTCAAACTTCACGTGCCAGAGCCGCTACTTGTGTTTGCCCTTGTACTGCCGGCGGCACC